AAATTACAGCTTTCATAATACTATTGTCGAGTATATGTTCGACCGCTAGTAAAATAGCATAAAGCTCTGCGGTGAAAATGCTTGCCCTAAAGTCAACTTGTGTGGCTTTGCTGTAGGAGGCGGAATAGAAAGCACACCCTACAAAAGACGACGATTTGGACCCATCTGTATAAAACTCCAGGTAGTCTGCATATTTTTGTTGCAAGGAGAGGAACTCCTGCCGGAGGATTTGTGGTGAAATGACCCTCTTACTGTATTTTGCAAGTGACCAGTCACAGAAAATTGGCAGAACATCCCATGGAGCAACCCTATGAGTGTTTTTAAGCAAGGGAATCTCATGGAGGGGGATATTAAGGGATTGACAAGTACTTTGCAAACGGAGGCTTAATGGTCTAACAATGCTCGGCTTGTTTTCGAAAAGCTGTGAACTTCTGCAAGCATGAAGGGCACTGTAGGAGGGATGCTTTGGATTCGAAAATACTTTGTAAGCATAAGAGACGCTGAGGTACTGCCTCCGTTTCTCAAGGGACATTTGATGCGTATCAGCATACAAACTCTTCACAGGAGATGTGCGAAATGCACCTGTAGAAAGTCGTAGTCCAAGGTGGTGTACTGGGTCAAGCATCTTAAGAGCGGATGGCCGCGCTGACCCATATACTACTGCACCATAGTCGAGGCGGGATCGAACTAAGGAGTTATACAGTCATAGAAGACAGCACCTATCAGCACCCCACGACATATGCGATAGCACTTTTAGGATGCTTGATGACATCAAGCATTTCCGTTTAAAATTCTTCAGATGGGGTACAAAGGTAAGTTTCTTGTCAAAAATAACACCCAAAAATTTGTGTTCTTGTTGGACTGATATCTCAATGCTATTAAGATGCAAGGAAGGATCAAGAGACAATCCCCGGTGTAATGAAAAAGGAACACAGACTGTTTTTTCAGGAGAAAATTTGAAGCCGTTTTCGTCTGCCCACTTACACATTCTATTGATTGTAAGCTGCAATTGTCGTTCACAACTGGAGAGGTTACAGGAAGACACAGAGATTTGCACATCATCCACATATAAAGAGTAAGTTACTGATGATGGCATAACCTTAGCTAGACTGTTAATCTTTACAGCAAAGAGGGTAACGCTCAACACTCCTCCTTGAGGAACACCATTTTCTCGAGAAAAAACATCTGAAAGTGTGGAGCCCAATCGGACTTGAAAGGTTTTTTCGCTGAGAAAGCTCTGTATGCACTGAAGCATGCGGCCCCGTACACCACAGTTGTACAAGTCACGAAGTATTCCATACCTCCATGTGGTATCATATGCTTTGTGTAAATCAAAAAACACCGAGACACAATGCTGCCGGTGTACAAATGCTTCCTGTATAGCGGTCTCTAGGCGAACCAAATGATCGGTGGTCGCTCGTCCCTCCCGAAAGCCGCACTGGTTTACATTAAAAAAATTCTCAGCATCTAAGAAATGGACAAGACGACGATTCACAAGCCGCTCATAAGTCTTCCCTAAGCAACTTGTGAGTGCGATGGGACGATAGCTCGTAGGAATTGAAGGGTCTTTCCCAGGTTTCAAAAAAGGGATTATGTGGGCATGTTTCCAGCAACGAGGAAAGGCAGCAGCTTGCCATAGATGATTAAAGAAAGTTAACAGACGGTTAGTAGATTCAGGGGACAGTTTCCTCAACATTTCATAGTGGAGTCTGTCTGGCCCTGGTGCAGACTGCTTCTTTGCACCAAGAGCGACTTTGAGTTCACACATTGTGAATGGTCTATTGTAAAAAAATGAACCACCCTCCGACATCGAGATGGGCTGCTTTTCAACAGTCGACTGGAACTTCTTGAATTTTTCGCTAAAATTAGAGGAGCTACTAATAAGATGGAAATGCTCCCCAAGAACATTTGCTTGATCTTTCAGCGATACAGAGGGGGAAGAAAACAGAGGAGTTGGGAAAGATTGGTAATCTCCTCGAACTTTCCGCAGGCGATCCCAAACTTCTTTAGCTGGGACAAAGCTATTTAGAGAAGATATATATTTTTCCCATGATGTCCTCTTTGCCTGTTTCCGTGTCCAACGTGCCTTGGCCCTACATTTTTTAAAATTCAATCAGGTTCAAAGCAGTGGCATAACGGCGAAATATACCCCATGCCTTGTTCTGTTTCCTGCGAGTGACTGTGCAGTCCTCATTCCACCAGGGTTTGCATCTCCGGGGTAGGACGCCGGATGTTTGCGGAATAGAAGATGCAGCAGCATTAATTAGACATTCAGTGACAAACACCGTCGCCTCCTCGGGGGACATACTGCGAAAAAGCGATGGATCCAGTACGGCATTTAAACCAAAAAGAGCCCAGTCAGCCTTCTCTAATTTCCACTTTGGAAGGCGGGTCGAAAGCGAAGGAAGGGGTATTGAACTTTCTAAAATTATGGGGAAATGATCGCTGCCAAATGGATTATCTAAAACCTTCCATGAAAAGCATGGAAGTAAAGCTGATGATGATACGGATAGGTCTATTGATGTAAAGGTGTTATGAGCAGCACTAAAAAACGTTGGCTCCTTTTTATTAAGAAGACAGAGCCCGGAGGATAATAAAAGTCGTTCTAAAACTCCACCACTGGAGTCCTGACGAACAGTACCCCACAGAGGGTGGTGGGCGTTAAAATATCACCTAGAATTAAAAAAGGCTCAGGCAGCTGATCTATGAGTCCTTGTAGCTCGTGGAGCTGCAGTGGAACGTTGGGTGGCAGGTAGAGAGAGACGAGGGTGACGAGTAGGTCAGGGAGAACGCGAACTGCTACTGCCTCGAGCGGTGTTTGTAGAGGAACCTGAGCACACACAACCCCGCTCTGCACTACAACTGCGACACCTCCAGAAGGGCTACGAGAAAGGCGATCCTTCCTAAAAACCTGGTGCCGGCGTAAGACCTGTGTGTGTTTGTCGGTCAGATGGGTTTCCTGCAAACAGAGTGCCACAGGACGAAGCTCATCGAGAAAAAAAATTAACGTCATCAATATTACGAAGAAGGCCGCGACAGTTCCACTACATGATACCTAATTGTTTAGTCATAGCAGTGCCAAAATTAAAATAAACTTTAACTTATAAACTGCAAAAATGGGTAACAAAAGGTTATTAGGGTTTAAAATCAATTTTTATGCGCGGAGCGTTTTTCTTTTTCGCGCAGTCATTCTGCTTCCCACTAGAGGTACTGGGAGCAGCGAGGGAGGACTCCGATCCCGAGAGGATAGCCTCGTCGTCGGATCTGAGCCCACACTCTTCCATGGGCTCTTCTGGTGGTGTCGTCAGTTGACCCTTAGGGGCCAACTGCTTCGACGTCTCACCGGGCTTCCTCTGGGGAGCAGAGGTGCGAGGGGGTAGGCCTCGGCCCTTAGGGGCCAAAGGGCCAGGTGGAGCAGGGGGGGTCAGCCCCTGCCCTGAGGTGGATGCAGAAGAGGCAGCATCCACCTTACGGTTCGAAAGCGGTGTCACTGGCACCGCTCCCGAGGACGGAGACCTCGACGGGAGGCGTAGACTGTCCGTAGACGTCTGCGTTCCCGTCGAAACCATTGGCCGTACCGGTCCCCTGCGTACGGCCTCGGCATAAGAGCCTTTGGATACAAAGGCGAAACGCTTCTTTGCATCAGCGTATGAAATATTTTCGGTAACCTTCAAGGTGAGGATTTCTTTTTCCTGTTTCCATAATGGGCAGGATCGGGAGTACGCTGGGTCCTTACCGCTACAGTTAGCACAGTGGGGCTCATTCTCGCACACATCAGCAACGTGCTCCTTGCTAGAACACTTGGCACAAGTGTCACTTCCTCGACAGTTCCGTGACCCATGGCCAAACCGTTGGCATTTAAAACACCGCTGAGGGTTTGGCACATAGGGGCGGACGCGGCACTGGAGATACCCTGCCTTCACAACTTCAGGAAGTGTAGTTGACTCAAGTGTGAGGATGATGTGTTTCATCTTGCGTTCAACACCATCGCGGCGAAGGGTAATACGCCGAGCAGCGATTACCCCTTGTGCAGAAAGGCCTTCAACTATACTTCGGTTTCTGTACACTCGAGCAGGTCGTCTTCTGAGATCACCCCTTGAATTGTATTAAGTGTTCTATGAGGTGTGACAGTGACTTTGTAATCAGTCACACAGTTTAGTGCTAATAGTGAATCACTTTGTTGCTTATTGTGTATCTCCACTATAGGAGATCACCAGATGCCATCTTTTTTGCATTGTAGTTATTCCCAATCACTCCTTCAAGAACTTTTGAAATGAGGAAAGGGGACAACTTGCCAAGCGGTTTTTCATCCTCAGAGTGCATGACAAGAAACTTGGGGAACTTTGAAAATGTGTATGTTGGTTTTTCTATCTGCAGTGCTTCGGTGCGGACCCTTTTCGGGGCCCGATCAAAAGGTTTTTTAGCTTGAGAACCCATATGAAGGGGGAGGGTTTTCGGAAACTGTGGTGCACCGCCCACCACCGAGCCCAACAAGGGAATAGGTAACGCTCCATAACAAGAATGGCTTGGCTGAAGACGTTACGCTATTAGTGCTGCCCAGTCTCTATAACCAAGAGTGGTTCTGGACAAGGTGTCTGTCGCCACCCAAGGTTAGCCCTTGCCGCCAAAGGAGTTGAAAAGGAAAGAAGAGAAATGAGAAGAGTGAAAAGGAGGAGAAGACAAGGGTGAAAGCAGAGAGGGGATAGTAGAAGTGGCGACTAGACTGAATCATCCTGGCCGGGCCTTACCAGGACTCCCGTCTACGAGAAGCAGGGGCCGAAGTGGTGTATTGCCTCGCCCGGGGGGCCCCGAAGGGTCCAAACCTACCCCGGGCTCGGCTCAACCACCAGGATGCCCTTTTCTCCGGACACGGGAAAGCCACGCACAGCCATACGTGGGCGGGCGAACCCGCATGGCTCGGGGTCCGTGGAGACGCCACTCTCCAAACACCTGCTTTCACGGGTGTCCCCTGCGGGGTCGCGAGTTGTGAAGGAGCTAGCTTCCACCGCGCTGCACCCGATTTATTCCACGATCCGGAAGGTGCATGACGCGTCGAAGCGGCACCCCGGTTCCAGTCGAATCGGTTTTGCCACGAGTCCCGGCTCCACGCAGACCATGTTGAGGAACTCTCGCGAGCCGAAGTCGGGCAGCTCGGCGGCCATTTTGGACCACGGGTTCCAAACCACTGATCGAAGAAAAAGGCGCAGAACCGCTAAGTTAGAATGCACCATTTGACGTTACGAGTTTACGAAGCAGAGCAAGAGATACAGCGACCATAATTTAAAAAAAAAAAAAAAAAAAAAAAAAGACCTAAAGCCGGGGTCACACTACTAATGCGGACCGCAAGATCGTCTGCTTCTTTTGCAGGGGTTGTGGTGATCATAGAGTTATTACAATAAACGCTAGAGGCTCAGCTGGCGCTAGTGTCTATGGGACTTCCGGTTGCAAATTAAGCAGACAGCATGCAGTCTAGATTTCCAGCCTCCCTGTGTATTCCTATGGGAAAACGCGCGTGAATTTTGTCTCTTCGCCGGAAAATAACATCAATAACTTTTGTCATTTCGGTTGTACCGGATAGTATGTACCTTTATTGGTATTGTGAGAACATTTTTCTTTACCACTGAACGATGTTAAACTTCGCTCTATTTCAGGACCAAACTTCTGTTGCAATGAAGGTATGTAAAAACGAGCGACGATTCTAAGCTAACTAACGATCGAAAGGGATGTAGAGTGTGTTCAAGGTTTGCTAGCATTTCGGTGGTGCTTATATGTTGCTAATTGCCCGTCCTTTCATTGGATGAAAATGACTCCGTCGTGCATCTTTACGATCGGTTAAAAAAATACTCAAACGCAAAAAAATAAAGCACGTGAACTACGAAAGGTGTGTCGTTTTATTATTTCCTATGTCGGGCACTTTTTATCGGGCACCTGCTCTCTGGCTCCTGCAAAGATTTGGAGAGTGCGGGTGATGGGTGAGGATTTGAATTCCCAGAACAAGCATCTTCGCACACATTCATGAGCAGGAATGAAGCAGTACTTATTGATTGCAAATCAGACTATATTACATGGCATTCAATTTATTTTGATCGTCTGCATGCACAAGGAGTTACTTATGTTACTGCGTAGTTCTTGCCGTCTCTCTTGGTTTTCCACGCGTCCTTCGTTTGTTTGGCATGTATATCCCCCATGCTGGAAAGCGTCGACGCCGTGTTCGAGCTAACAGTGTCCCACTGTGCACATAAATACACGTACGAAGTGGTTTTAGCACCGTTTTTTATGCCACGAATTTCAAATAAAAACGCCGTAGCTGACCAATTATTTCGTCTGCGTGACTGAGAAATGTTGCAATGTGCCTAGTTCGTACAAATTATTCGTGATATTTGTTCTTATAATCGAGCGCAGAGAGAAAATGCACTCGCTTTTTCCCATAGAAATGCATTACCGGAAGTCAATTTCTGACTACTCGCTGTCTGCTTCAAAATGCAACTGCACACTAGCGCCAGCTGAGCCTCTAGCGTTTATTGTGATAACTCTATGGTGGTGATGTCAGAGCGCCGACCTCTGATTGGTTCTGAATGAATGATAGGGGGCAGACATCAAGGCAGCTTGCTTTGAGGTCTACCCACTCTCCTTCAATCAGCCAATCAGAGCTCGACGTCCTTCTGACGTCGCCGCACATCTTCCGCAAGAAGCAGACGACTTGCTCTCCGCATACACCATACAAAATACATGGTGCTCGCTGCAGACATGATGACAGAATTATCTTCGGACGCGCTTCACGCATGTTCCAAGTATCTTCCAACATGTCTGCACACAGCTTTGGTAGGACCAATGTGAAAACTAAGATGGCAACATTCAAGGAAAACAGCCAGTGCCTGCACACTGTCTTTTGTAAGATGTATCATTGAGAAAATAAAACCGTGTTTTCGTCCCGTGTAAATAAACTGCGTCGCAGGAAGTTTAAACGCCATGAGATTGTGATGCTAGCGGTTAAAATAAAACGCGAAAGTAACAAAAAAAAAATAAAAGAGATGCTATTTGGAGAAAGAGCGACTAAGTTCTCTCTGAGCCGATGTGTACTTAAGCCTAATATCGTCACAACAAGAGCTGAAATTGTGGACGCACGTGGAATTCATGTAAATAAGAAACGCTGGTCATCAAGAAAAAAAAAAAAGGATATCGATTTCTTTCTTTTTGACGAGATTTTCTTTTTCATTGGAATACATGCTACAGGCGCCCACAAGGTCATTTCTTGTTTTGAGAATATTAGACTTAATTGGACGTCAGCTCTTAAAAAAAAGTCTTTGCTTTATTTTTTGATTCATTGGTGACATCATGACAATAAGGCGAGTAAGACGGAGAGAGACCAGATCGATTTTTAAGCATCTTGCGACGTCTTAGGACCAGCTTCGCTGCAGCGCATCTGGTCCCAAGACATCGCAAGAGGCTTAAAAGCCGGTCTGGTCTCTCTCCGTCTTACTCGGTCGGAAGAGTGTGAACGGGCCTTAATAATCCCTGTAGAAGGGGAACAAATTTAAGGACTAACACAAATCTCCAAACACAACTAGGTGACCGGTGCGCGACCGGAAAAATCCGCCTGGTCCTGGTTTCGAATCGGGGACCTCTCCATTTCCACTGGAGCACTCTACCAACTGAGCTAACCAGGAGATAAGCGCCGTTCACACATATGCAACCGAGTAAAGGCCCGTTCACACTCTTGCGACCGAGTTAGACAGAGAGAGACCAGACCGGTTTTTAAGCCTCTTGCGACTTCTTAGGACCCACTCCGCTGCATCGCATCCGGTCCTAAGAAGTCGCAAAAGGCTTAAGAACCGGTCTGGTCTCTCTCGGTCGTACTTAGTCGCAAGAGTGTGAACGGGCCTTAAGACCGAGAGAATAGACGAAACTCGAACTATAAACAAAACTCGAACTACTTTCAATCTATCCAAGTTAAAAGCAGTCCAACTGTACGTAAGGTAACAATAGCAGAAGACTACCAAACCGCAAGCAGTCTTTCGATTTAAAACGCACTCCATTCCTCTTTCAGGGGAAGTGCTCGTGTGACCGGGAGGGTGGGTGGTGGGGGGGGGGGGGGGGGGGGGGGGGGGGAGTGGGAGCAGCGAGACGCACTTTAACACGTGAAGAGCCGCATGCGGCTCGCGAGCCTTCGGAGAAAAGCGAAGACTGGTACACCCAAAAGCGGGTAAGAGGAGAGTTCCTCCTTCCCCTCTTCTCCAACTGCTTGGGTTACGCTGTCCTCCCTTTATCTTTGGTAAGAGCTGTTACGTGCTTCGCCCCCGTACAAGGGCGCCGCCACTTTGAAATATCGTCACCTCCAGGATGGACGAAAACATCGTTTTGTTGTCGCCGCGCCAATAGAATACACCAGGGATGGGCAAAATACATGCAAATATGTATCGAAATACAAATACAAAATACCTCGTCAAAAATGTATTTAATTACAAATCTAATTACATTGCCAAAAAAACACTTAAGTACAAGATACAAATACAACCAAATGTATTTGGTCTCCTCCAAATACTTTTCCAAAACATTCCTCAAAATTTGCGTCAGCGACTTCAGGGCACCTGCAACGGGTTTCTGGGTGTCTCATTTGAATTTTGCATCGCACACTCGGGAGATAGTGTACGAGGCTCTAGTATACGTAATAGAAATATAATCACAGAAAATGTAATCAGCTTGGACGTTACAGGGGGGAAAAAGCTTTAAGCAGCTTTTTTTTGTCGATTACATTTTGGTATAGACCGACAAAGAACCGAGACGACCAATACGCGCAGAACTAGCAAGAGAATTTTTTATTGTTGCAACTCGCAGCAGTTACGAAAATCTGGACGACCCGCTCAATTAGGATGTTCCAGGCAAAAACATGGATGGAAATCAGGCTGGAAAGCATCACAAGTTGTCACAGGCACTCATTTAACCAGTCTGCATGTGAACGTCTTTTTCGTCACTATTCTTTCCCAGGACTAGCACCGTAATCACAAAGTCACTAAACGCTTGTGCTTGATTGAGAAACACTTTATTCGGTGCAAAACATAGTTTTCTTTCTGCTCTAGACAGTGACAGTAAATTTGAGGGATGTATTTTCGCCCACAAAATTGTATTCAATTACAATTGTATTTGAAATACCCACGTTTCAGTATTTAAATACACACGTCAAATACATTACCCAATTTGTAATTAAATACAAATGCAAAATACACAAAGTATTTGAAATACTGCCCATCCCTGGAATACATCTAGGATAGATGCGTAGAAAATATTGTAAGGGTGCAGGCGAGCTGGTGAATTTTAAGACTGGGGTAGAGAAGACACATCAAAAAGTAGAAGGGAGAGAAAAAAGAAAGGACAACGTCTCAAATGTCGTTCTGTCCTTTCTTATTTTTTTTTCGTCCCTTCTACGTTTTGCTCTTTCTCAGGTTAATTCATCATGGTTGATATAAGTGTAACCGTCATCCATTCTCGTTTTGCTTCCCCGTTAGATTTTTTTAATACTATTTACGTGTTGAAAAGTTTTATTATTTTTTCATCGCCCATACCGGATATGCCTACAAGGTGGTTGGGGACGACAGTACACGACAAGTGTCCATAGGCCGTAGCTTTCACTGCTTTGCCAAGTTACGGTGAGAGGAAGGCAAGCTGGGGATCGACGACGTGAAAATATGGCATATGGATACCCCCAAAACATGACCCGAGCTATGGCACGTGCAGCAGCAACGAGCTAGATAATTCAAGCCAGTGAACCATCGCGAACGATAGTAAACAAATAATAAATAAAAAAAGGTAGAAAATCACTTACCTGTGTCAGGCAAATTTTTCTTTTCGATAAGAAGAGTTCTGTTTCCGCTGACACCAGAGAGCGTGTGACGGTTCTGGGTCTCCTTGTAGATGCTGCAAATCGGAGGCGACGCATAAAGTTACACGGGTATCCGGAGATAATTCGCGCCACATCTCACTCACACGAAATATAAAAGGAATAAAACACGTCCTGCTCGTAGACATGATAATTGCGCCGTGTTAAGCGTGATTCACATGGTGTGAATTTCATGCGATTTCGGAGCTGCGGCTTTGAGCCCCGCAGCAACCACTACGGATCTTTTACCGCACAGGCGGCGTCCTAACTGCGAAATCGCGAGAAATATTGCACCATGCGAATAAGGCCTTAGCTATTTGGACCAAAAAAAAAAAAAAAAGTGTCACAACGCGGCTAAAACAAAAAACAAACAAACATACACATCGAAAGAAACTGCAAGTTTTGCCCGGGCGCCGAAGCGCATGCTATTTGCAACTCCAACGGCTTGCACTAAATCTTCTCTGGTTAGCACCTCGGCCGCCAGGCCGCGTTAGTTTTAGCTGCACGTATGTATATGCGGTCGCTCCACGTATGTCTCCTTTACGCCTTTTCCGCTGGGTTACGTCGCCTCTTCTGGAGTTGCGAATGTCGGCAGGCGCTGCTCCCTGTTTCTTCTCTGCGTGTGACTAAGCTTCGACAGTAATTCTCCGCGCAAGCATATTTCCTATCCCAGTATAATCCTCTGGGTATTGCAGCCAACCCCGACCCTGTTCGCAACTCCACAGTGTGCCTAGATTTCAGAGTTTTTCCAACTACTCAATCGGGGTTGAATTATGGGTCGCGTTTACAACACGAGCTACGCGACAACGCAGCGCACATGAACTTGCGACCAATCGGGACAGATGGCGTTCGCCATTAAATTGCAAGCGCTTTCCATGGTCCGAGTTCCTCTCTCTCTTAAATCTAGGCTCTATACACCTCTTCAAGGTGGGCGCCGCCATCTTCAATCCTGGAACTTCCGGTATGCGTGAAAACATCGCCTTCCTCTCGCCTCGCCAGTAGAACATGTTAACATTTTAATTGCAGCCGTCATTCCTTCTTGTTATACCCTTCCTATATTTTTTCTTTTCTTTTTCCGGGTTGAAATTTCTTGCTTGTTTTTCGGAACGCATACCGGATATGGGGACAACGTGGCTGGGTACGAGGCTAAACGAAAAAAGTGTATAGAACTCCAGTTATCAAGTTATTTAAATTAGTGGAAAAGACGTGAAGGAGAGAAGCTGGGCGATAGCGTCTTTCTGAGTGTGCAGCGAATCGTTGCGCGACCTGGCGGCGAAATTATGCACCAGAGGAACGGGGAGAAGAAGGTAGGTTTCATTTGAGAATTCAAACAGGATTTGATGCACGCCGTTGGAGTCGCGAATATATTTCAGCTGTCATGCTAGTAGGCTACTGGTAAAAGGAAGGCTTTCATTGGTGTCTTGTCTCAGCAACGGCTTAAAAGTGCTGTGCAACAATTTTTTGACTTTTGAGTAAATACCACTTAGAATTATTAATTTACATTCATAGGTTATAAAGCACGCGTTAATTTTTTTTTTTTCACGCAATGGCAGCCGCATAAAAATATAGAGGAAAAACGAACAGCCTTAACCCCCTCACCAGAACCACAGATAAAATCAGACTTTTGCCTATCTCAAATACTCTACTCAAGATACTATATTTCAAATACATTTTGAAGTATCTTGCAAATACCTTTGTTCGAGAGCATTCGATACTCTATCTTCATTATATTTCTGAGTGTCTTGTACTCATTACCCTACTGAAAATAATTATATGAATCTAGTGGGTGATTCAAAGGAGCTGCCAGGCTCTTTAAATCGACCTCAAAATTCGGTTTCTTAAAAGGACCCTACAATCATATTTAAGCGTCTAACTTTTTTTGCGGTTTCCGCGTCTCTTGGGGTTCGGGCAAGCCAGCGGGCACGGAGAGAGTAATTAAAATTTAAATATCAGTGCGTCATATTTTAACCGGACGACGCGGAAACCTCCTCCACTGACGAGGGCGACCCGCGGTACCGAAAGAGCGCAAAATGTAACGTCTTAGGTTCTGGGCTTACTACTGGTCAGAGCCGCTAAAACTTCTTTTTAGTCGAAATTCAAAATACAAGTGTCGCGAACCGTTTCAATTATTTATAAAAGTGGTTTTTGTTCAGTATTTTAGATCAGAAAAGAAACGAATGCAGTTTATAAAGTACGGAAACAAAAAATGACTCGTCGACATACCCGCCACCAAGCGGTGGAAAAGGCGGCGCATACTAGAAAGGGGTAGTGGGATGAGGCGCCGGCACGGAAAGGCCCCGGATGTACGCGGCGGCGCTGCGGTCGTGTCGACAGGAGGATCTGACCGACTCCGAGCGTTCCGAAGGCTTTCGACGAGAAGCTTTGTCTTGCGGTTTGGCCGTTTCGCGGTATGGCAGCGCAAAGTGGCTCCCATTCTGAACTGATCTTTTACCCCGTGCTTGCTGTCGCTTGTGGCCAATGAAGAGTCATGCCGAATTAGTGTTTAATTGCGCAGCGAATGCAATGACAGCCGCTCTGACCGCCCGCTGCATACAGCCTATCCAGAACATGCTTTAGTGGCGCCCTCTCGCGCCGTCGACACGGAGTGCGGCAGCCGTGAGCGCTCGATGAGCCCACTACCCCTCGTCTAGTTCACGGCCACTCAAGCAACCAAAAACGTCATGAAGGAGGCTATTTTTTGCTTGTTTTTGTAATTTTAGTTTGCCTGTAACTGTAAAAAGCGAAATTCGAGAAAAGGAAAGTTTCATTACGCTACTACGCCAGTGCGCTCAGGTTTGGTGCAAATTAAAAACCAGTAAGAAGTCCTTACAGGGCCCCTTTAACCTATCGCGCTACGATTTTGTGCAGCGTTGCCCACAGATGGTGCATTTTTTTTTCGTAAAATTTGCAAAGAGCGAACTTACCCCCGGAAAAAGTAAAGAAAGAAAAAGGCTTATAGCTCCGTTGGAAACGCAGCGAAGCCACCGGTATTCAAACAACACGGCGCCGCTTCGCACGGGAGACAAGAGATGGCGCAAGCGGTCGCGATGCCAACCACCGCCAACGAACGAGCGTCCGTTGCCGAGAGCCGGCATCTTTAGCAGACGATCGTTTCGACTCAAAAGCAGTGGTGTCGCAGTCCCCTTTACGGATGGTTACAGCGGTAAACTCAGCAGCATCGTCACAAAAGTCTGTCTAATCTATTTGATGTTGATCCAGTTCTCTTCGGACAAGTATCGCGGCTTTCGGCACTTCGTTTTTTTTTCTTGTTTTTTTTTTGTGTTTTAAGTAACTGGCAATAGGCCCTGATAAATAACGTATGGCGAAACTCTGAACTTTTTGTAGTTTATACGAGCTTCTTAAGGACAAGGACGCGCATCGGTTGGTTTGTAAATGCAGGCGCGGACATGAGAGGCGTACCCGTATGCCGATGGTATTCCATTGAAGCACTGTAGGGCACGCAATGCTTCGAGTGCTTTTCTTCGGGTGGATGTTGGGTTGTAGCATTAAGCTATATTCAGGAATGGGAGCACTGCCTGTAGGAAGCCGCATAGGCTCTATGCCCACGAGGCATCAATGCGATCGAGATAAGCGCATGCCATTTCTGCTGCCGTTCTGATTAATTTGATCCAGCTCGCCGGAGGTTTTTCCGGAGCTTACCGCGGTGATCTTTGTGAAGAATCAGCCGTTGAGGTTTGTTCAATTTTATTAACACCAGTTGAGAGTTCAGATACTTTGACAGAAGCGCCGTTGCACGTCGACTTTTTGGTGCCAATGGGAATGGTGACACCGGGTTCTGGCTTACTGGACGCGGTTGCAGAGTTGTAGGTGGTCTTTTGATCATTTTTTGAGGATGGGTCTTGAGTGCTGCGGTATAGCTTAATCTCTTATCGTCAAGGGCTGGGGCGCGTGTGTCTTGCACTGAGGCTTCTCCACTTTCCTTGGAGGGGCTGTTGGTGAACACATTGTGAATGTGTTCTTGCATTGCTCCCGAAGTCTGCTTTACAACAATTTTGGCAGAGCGGCAGTCAACGGCATTTCACTTCGCGTACGTGACGACATTCTGCTCTACTCTCCATTGTGAACAGGCCGGAGATGTAGCCTTATGTGCTTCTCTACAGTTGACGCACTTAATCACTGTTGATTTGCACAACGCGTGCATGCGGAAGCGTGGGTGCATGAGACTGCGAAGTATCCCAAAACACCACAGTGGCGACACTAAATTGGACGGGGCTTGAATTCCGTCACTTGGTGTCGCACTCGTCCTAGCAGCACAAAACTTGGCAGAGGTGAACTGTTGAATGTTAGCTTTACGACACCTGTCACCCCAAGACGACGTACTCTGGCTATAGGCGTCCATCCGATCGCCGGTTTTCTAGAATTTCAGGGTCTGATAGTTCGGCATCAACATTTTTGATGACATCAGTCGATGTGGGACTTTCGAGGGATTGCTAGGCCCCGACAGAGACACCACAAAGTTCGGGACATCTCAGCAGCGTCCTCGTTGTTTGTGCGTTGGGAGCATCAACGGTAACGGCGTTGACGCGATCGTTGGGGTGGATCTGAAGGAAACATTCTGGGCAAAGCTTTTCTAGGGCGTTTGAAAGCCTCGAGCTGCTTAAAGTTGCTAGGTTTTGGTCAGGCTTCGTAGCGACGAAGATTACTGTCAGTCCTTCACGGACGTTCGGCTGTTTGCGAACTGTTCCTTAACACGAAGCAGGGTCGAACTGTGCTTTGTGTGAGCGCTTGCGTGATCGTGCCTTGTTCCGCTCTTCGTTGTTGGTGTTGCTCTCTTCCATGTTTTCTACCCTGGTCTGGGATGAGTTCGCTACTGACTCGGACGTCCAGAAGTCTGACGCGGTGTCATGAACATCCTGTGCTGAGTCGTTCGGCATGCTGTGTTGTCCAGGAGTGATGTGATCTGTTGATACTTGTTTCGTGATGTTGGTGGTGACGCTTTGTTGAACTTTGGACGTGGATCCAGGCATCTTGGTTGGAGTCTGGAAAAGACCACCCTTACGAGTGACTTCCCACTGGC